CAAACACACATGCAAGAAAAAAACAACAACCACCAAACACCCACCGAGTGCTTTTCTGGAGTCTTCACCAGGAAAATCTCCATGGACTTCTGCACTTCGACACTCATCTTTGCACACACGGACCGCAAGAGACGAGCACTCATATGGAGGATGTCTTCGTGCGCGTGTCGTATGAGTCGTTGTAAGGTGCTCAGAGCGCGCTCACCGATCTGTGGTTGGAGAGAAAAAATGGGGCTGATTTTTCGTTTTAACCCTCCCAGCCCCAGCCATTTTTGTGCACTCCCTAACTCCAGTCCCAGCCAATACAGCAGTATTTCAGAAAAAGAGGTATGTGTTCTAAAAATTGAAGTAACATCTTTGTAATGAGGTTTAGATAATAACGTAATAATAATATATAAAACAATGTTTAAAGGTAAACTGAGAATGTACGCTCTTGGGGCGGTGAGGTACAAGCACTAGTGAAAATACACGCGCATGAGGCTGGAAGGGTTTAAAACTTTTTTTCTTTCAACTGATTAATTAAAAAGGTCTTGGGTTTTAAATTGCATGCATACGTGCAGTGGAAGTACAGCAGAATATTCAGGTATATCAGTGTGATTTGTCTGACAAAAGTATAAATAAAATCAAGGACTAGATCTAGATACAGAATATCTGCTCATTGTGAAAAGTATATGTATAGTTGAAACTGTCTGTTTTAGTAGAGGTTTTACGGCGCTCGCAACTACATAAGGTCATATGAGCGCTAGAAGATCAGAGGAGTAACAAGAGAGTAACAAACACAAAAAAGAAGGAGGGGAGATAAGGACGATATATTTTTTATAGGAAAGAAGAAGCAAACCACACCAGAGCACCCGCCAACCACACACAAAAACTCTATGACGGCTACGCGTAGTTGAGGGGAAATGTGGCAGTGTGAGAAATGTGGCCGTCTTAAACGGTGTTATTATAATGTATGAGATAGTGTCGCTTTTAAGCACAAATAGGCTATCCCAGAAAATGCTGTTTTGAGAAAATCGAAGGTAAAGCTTTTGCCCCTTGTTCAGTTTCTTCAAAAGAAAAGGGAGAGTTTTCTCTATAACCAAACAAATATACACACTCATGAAACCAAACTGTTCCTATAGGTAGGGCAATGCCCACTTTTAGTGTAGATTGAAAGAGGCCGTTTATTCAGGTGCTTGTCTTATACAGGTGGTCGTTTGTGCAAATGATTGTCTTGTGCAGATGATTGTCTTATACAGGTGGTTGTTTGTACAGGTGATTGTCTTATACAGGTGGCCGTTTGTACAGGTGATTGTCTTATACAGGTGGCCGTTTGTACAGGTGATTGTCTTATACAGGTGGCCGTTAAGGCAAGTTGGGCGGCACCTACCTTAGGGTCCTCGTGTTTTTCGCTCAGCCCTCTGGTCACCTCTTCCCAGTTGAGTCGTTGTGGGAGCTCACTCAGAAAT